GAAGGACGGGGACAGTGGCCACAAGGAGTCTTGGACACAGGCCCTGGCGGAACAGCTCCCCGTGGCCGATTCAGCAGGCCCCGAATGCTGTCTGCCCCGAGCATCCCTGAGCCCCAAAGACCCTAGAGAGCACCTCTCCCTCATGATCTTTTCTAAGGATGTCTAAGGGGAAAAATGAATTTCTCACACTTGTAGCACTTTTGCTAAAGTACTAAGGCTTCAAAATTCATAAACAGGAGGATATAATTAAATGCAAATGCGGGGCCACATTTAAAAATTAATCTTCTGTAATTAATTAGTAATTTTAAATATTCTGGTAAATGATACTTAAATAGCACCGAATTATCCTGGCTCTGAGTGATCAAGTCGTCTGCTAAAGACTCACCGTGGCAAAGGGAGAAACATTTGCATATACCACGTGGGACAACAGAACACTGTGATTACTTAATCTGCCTTGGCTTCAAGCGTATTAGAGAGCACAGTTCTCATGTTCAAATTGTGGGAGCCAGCTCCCTCCCTGCAGTGAATTCTGGGAAGCAGTGGTTAGAACCAGGGGTTCGCCCAGGCTGTGCTCCTAGAAAGGGTTTGACTGCCTCCAGCCACGCTCCTTGCTGGGGAGCATGTGCTGGGAGTAGCCCTCCCCCCTCTGTCCCCTCACAGACACCTGCTCTGCTCAGCCTGTGACAGGTGGCCCCACTCGAGGGCAATGGCCCTCCGTGCCTCTGTCCACCCCTGGCCACAGGGAGAGGCCACGGACACCTGTCTGACCGCAGCGGTCAAGGCCCTGCTGCTGCTGCATCTCTCACTGACAACAGTTGACTCTTTGGACTCTTTCCGGTGAAACACAGAAGGAGGGAGGAGAGAGGAGAAAATACAGGACAGAACGAAAGAGGGAGGCAGGGGCACAGAGCGGGAATGCGAGTTGCCAGGACAAGTCCTAAATCCCCCAGGATGTGCCCCCAACACGTGCACTGCACAAGCCCCACGGAGGTGACCCCTGCACTTGCCCCCAGACACACACCCTCCCATGTGCTCCCCAAAGTGCCCCCACATGTGCCCAGAGTTGGCTCAGTGGACAAGAGCCTGGGGCATGACCTCCATTGCAGGCCACTGCAAGGAATGGCCAGAAGGACTGTGGCCATGCAGTGTGGGGAACCTGTGTCCCCAGCTAGTCCTTGGTAGCTGTGTGGGCACCCTGGTCTGTGTAGGCTCCCACTTCCTCCCAGATGGATGGATGACTGGGTGTCTGGGGGATGAACAGATGAACAGATGGACAGATGGACAGATGCACGTGTGGATGGATGAATGTGTGGACACGTGTGGACGGATGTGTGGATGTGTGAGTGGATGCATCGGTGTGTGGAAGGATGTGTGCATGGATGTGTGGATGGATAGGTGGATGAGCGTGTGGATGGATAGGTGGATGGATGTGCGGATGGATGTGTGGATGGATACGTGGATGGATACATGAATGGATGCGTGGATGGATAGGTGGACGGACGTGTGGATGGATGGGTGGATGGATGGGTGGATGGATAGATGGATGGACGTGTGGATGAATAGGTGAATGGATGCATGGATGGATGTGTGGATGGATACGTGGATGGACGTGTGGATGGATGGGTGGATGGATGGGTGGATGGATGTGTGGATGGATACGTGGATGGATACATGAATGGATGCGTGGATGGATAGGTGGATGGACATGTGGATGGATGGGTGGATGGATGGGTGGATGGATGTGTGGATGGATACGTGGATGGATACATGAATGGATGCGTGGATGGATAGGTGGATGGACGTGTGGATGGATGGGTGGATGGATGGGTGGATGGATGTGTGGATGGATACGTGGATGGATACATGAATGGATGCGTGGATGGATAGGTGGATGGACGTGTGGATGGATGGGTGGATGGATGGGTGGATGGATGTGTGGATGGATACGTGGATGGATACATGAATGGATGCGTGGATGGATAGGTGGATGGATGGGTGGATGGATAGGTGGATGGATAGGTGGATGGATGCATGAATGGATGCGTGGATGAATAGGTGGATGGATGGGTGGATGGATGTGTGGATGGATACGTGGATGGATACATGAATGGATGCGTGGATGGATAGGTGGATGGATGGGTGGATGGATAGGTGGATGGATAGGTAGATGGATGCATGAATGGATGCGTGGATGGATAGGTGGATGGACGTGTGGATGAATAGGTGGATGGATGTGTGCCCTCGCCCACCCCAGCGCAGCCCCAGGGGGGTCAGGAGACCAGACGGCTGTGACCCCTGAGCCCCGTCTCTGCAAGGGGAGATCCTGGGCTGCTGTGTGGTTGTGGGGCCGGGTGAGAAGACCTCAGGGATGTGGATCCAGATGGAGCAACGGAAGGCGAGGGGATCTGCACGTGGGGTCCATTATCGGGGCCCCCAGGACCCCCAGGCAGGCCCCACACCTCAGCCGGGTGCACTCCCCCACTCTGCCACCCACCACCAAGCCTGGGCTTCCCAAACCTGTGGCCCACAGCCAGGGTAGCTCCCCTTAAAGTGGGGTCACACAGAACACCGTGGTGAACGACCCCTGGCCAAGGCCCCACGGTGAATGGCTGTGCCCTGGACACAAGGAGAAGCAGCAGCCCCAACGCAGCGATGGACAGCCTGGCCGGTCCCCGGCGGCCAAGCCGTGTCCCGCAGAATTTGTCTCTGATGACAGTGTGAGTGCCAGTCGTCCCAACCACGCCCAGGTAGCGAACATAAAGGGTCAAGCAAAGCTCCCTCCCTCCCTCACTGCCGTCAGCCAGGCTTCCGGGGGCCGGGGCAGCTGGAGCTGGGAGGCCACATAACCCCTCTTTCTGGTGGCCAGCCACGCCAGCCTACCCGGGCACAGCAGATCCAGGTCACCATGAGCAGCGGGTGGCGAGGCGTTTACGGCCTGTAGCGGCGCTTTGAGTTTCATAAATTCAGGGCATGTCCTGGCAGTGGGCTGCCCTCGTGACCACTGCCTGTCCTCGTGACCTCTGCCTGTCCTCGTGACTACTGCCTGTCCTCGTGACCTCTGCCTGTCCTCGTGACCTCTGCCTGTCCTCGTGACCACTGACTGTCCTCGTCATACAAAGGGGTCGGGGTCAGTCTGGGAGCAAGCGCTCAGGTGGTGAACGAGGCTCTCCTGCTGGGGCGGCATCTCCGGATCTCAGCAGAGGACCCACTAGGCCAGCAGCACAGATCACTGGGCCACACCCACCCCAGGGCCACGCCCACCCCAGGGCCACGCTCACCCCAGGGCCACGCCCACCCCCAAGTCCAGACTCTGTGCCCAAATGCACATGGTAGACGCACTGAAACTCCTTCAGCAAAAACGCCCTAAAAACCTCTGCCACACCCTGGGACCACCCTCTTCCCCTGAAGCCACAGAGCCACCTCTGACCATCTCGGTCACTGCGGTGCCTTTATTCTCGGGGGCCGTCCCACAACATGCAGCGAGGCCGGTGGAGTGGGCCAGGTCGGAACTTGAACCCTGTCCAGTGCCCTGGTAGCGACTCCCATGATGCGAGTCCTTTAACTTCTTCAGCTTTGAGTCTTGATTTATGAAGCGGGCGGATTAGAGGGTGCCTGTGGTGGGCACCCCAGAAATGATGGCGTCCCCAGGCCCAGTGGCAGGCGCCGGGACCAGAGACCCAGCGGAGTGAAGCCCGGGTGCTGTCTCTCCCACGGTCTCCAGCCACCGTTCCCGCCCAGGTGGCCACTCCCGGGGCCTCCCCAGCCTGCAGCCACAGAGCCAGGACATGTGAGCGCCCTCTAGAGTCTGCGGTTAGCCTCTCTAAGTTGTATCTCTGGGCCATGCTGGTGACGTGCTGGATCCTCGCAGGGCCTGGGGACAGAGGAGGGGCTGCCATCTCGGCGGAGGGCACGGTGGAAGGAGAGCAGACACCTCTAGAGAAGCCACACACCACGTGCTTTACCGTGTCTGCACCTCCTCCACCTCCCCCGACGGGAAGACACAGGTCACGAGGGTGAGGCCGATTCCCGAAGGCCCAGGGGGAGGGAGGCAGGGGCTCGCCCCAACTGTATGGACCTCGCGCGAGTGTCCTTCCCATTTCCAGGCCTGGCGCAGGACAGGGACACGGGGGACAGGGGCACAGAGGAGAGGAGGCCGCCAGCCAGTGACACCGAATTAAGTGTCCCAGATGGAAACGTCTCCGCGGCGGGTCCCCTACCGGCTCCTGATGCATGAGGTAGCATTTCGAGTAATAATTAATCAGAGGGGAAGCAGAAGAAGCAAAACACATAAAGTGGAATTAGTATAATTCTGCCTCACTTCATTTTGCTTCCATTTAGAGGCTCAGCCAGGCGTCGGGCTGGAGGACACACAGCAGGGAGCGCTCAGCACGCAGCACCCCGTCTGCCCTGATCCCAGGCACGCCGCACCCCCACATGCTCCCTGCACCCTAAAGCCCGCCGGAGGGAAGCCCCCCGACTACGGTCGCCGTCGCTCAGCCACCAGGACTGGCCCCCGCCAGCTCACAGAGTATTTCTCATTGTCCGTGCTAAAATTAATGTGTTTTGTCAAACATGTGAGCCCCGTCTTCACGACAAGGGCTACCCCCAAACACAGGTGTTTTGTAAAACATCGCTGATCAGCCCCGGCGCAGAACAGCTGAGCACGTATACACCACGCGCGTCTGTGATGTGCGACCCGCACCCGTCCGGGTGCTAACAGCCCCCGAGGCAGGGCAGCCACCTCTGCAGAGAGCTGGAGACTGATTTTACCCCTAGAGGCTTACAACTGTCGACAAAGAGAAGAAAATTAAAAGGAAAAAGATACCAGCCTGAGACGCTCAGAACGCCTGGCAGGGACGCGCACAGCGGCGTCCCACGAGCCACCTGCCGGGGGCCCGTCAGGAGCCAGGTTGGGCTGCTCTCCCCCGTCCTGCCTGGGGCTGCGACCCCAGCACCCGGGGCGCCCACACAACACGCGGACTGGCCGGCCCACCACCTACCTCGTTGATGAAGGAGTGCGCCCCCTGCGGGCTGAGCAGCAGCACGGCCCGGCGCAGCGTGTCCCGGTAGCGGTTCAGCTCCTCCGTCTTCATCGTGGTGAAGAGGCTGGTAAACACGTGGCTGATGTTCTTGTCCACCTTCTGCAACGAGACGTCGAGGCCCAGCCGCGAGGCCTGGTCCAGGAAGCTCTGGAGACCACGGATATCTGGGCAGCGAGAGAGGCGGAGAGAAGCGTCTGAGCGGACAGGGCCGTGGAAGGTCTAAGCACACTCCCCACCCGGGACAGGCCACCACCGGACGCGAGGGCTCAGGCCCACCCCAGTGACCACTGACTGAGGTTGGACAGCCTGGGTTCGGTCCCGGCACCCCCACCCCGCAGCTCCAGGTGTGGCCGGTGCTACGGGGAAGACTTCTGCCATCCCAGGGGGCCTGTGGCCAGAACGTATCCTCACAAAGAGCCCCCTCTCTGCTGGGGTTTGCACCCAGTGGGCGCGAAGGTCCAGGCAGCTCGGCCCTCATGGCTGCAGGTGCTGTGAGCCCGGCCCTGGCCCCTGGGCCTCCACGCCCTCCACCCCCCGCAGCTGGGGCTCCTTGACCCTCGGGGGTGATCGAGGGCCACTAGCTGCCCAGCCTCGGTCCTGCCCCAGCCCTGAGGCCGGGGACCCTGTCTGGTCCCCAGGACCTGGCTTTCCTGGATGAAACAGGCCTCCACTCTCCTTTGAGCTGGGCGACTCTTGTCCCAAGTCCAACAGGATGAGCAGACGGTCCAGCATGAGCACCGCGTGCCAGCCGGGCCCTGCAGCGGGCAGAGGCTCCTGCACGGTCGCCGAGGGGGCAGGCGCCCAGAGGGAAGCAGAAGCTTCCTCTGTGGGGCCAGAAGCAGAGCCCAGGTCTCCCCGCAGCACCAGGCCTCTGGCTCCCCCGAGGTGGGACTCGCCCAGGGACGGAGCCGACAGAGGCAGGGAGCCCCGCGTGGGCCCCGGTCCTGCTGACGTCACCACGCCCCCGGGTATCCGGCTCCACGCCCCCGGGTGCCCGGCTCCACGCCCCCGGGTGTCCGTCATCCACGCCCCCGGGTGTCCGTCATCCACGCCCCCGGGTGTCCGGCTCCACGCCTCCGGTTCTGCTGGACCCCTGTCAGTCCCGCCCAGTCTCAACCCAGGTGCTGCTTTCCAAAGCCGGGAAGCTCCCTCCACCGGGCCCAGATCTGCCAGCACCCGGGCCATCCCCTCTGGGGGACACTGGGCCTGCCCAGGTCGCCACTGCACTCGGCTGTGCAGGGCGCCCACGGCTGCCACCGGCCCATGGCTGCCACCGGCCCACGGCTGCCACAGGCCCACGGCTGCCACAGGCCCACGCCGGCCCAAGAAAAAAACTCAAAGTAAACGGTGTTCATTCAACCAGGTAGTTCCCCCGACCAGTGTCCCCCCAAAGTTCCCCTCCACACCCATTCCACACATGCCCAGAGCAACACAGGTGCCGGGCACTGCCGAGCACGGGGCCCCGGGGTGCCGGTCTCCCCAGGGGACAGGCTCCCCAGCGAGTCTGCTCCCAGCCAGACGTGCAGGAGGGACACGGAGAAGCAGGAGCAGGGCCAGGGGAGAGCAGAGCCCAGCCGTCCCAACTGGGGTGTTGGGTCAGCCTCAACCCTCACCTCGGGGAGGCCTGGCCACAGGGTCTGAGCACCTGCCGTGGGCTCCATGCTGAGAACCTAGCATCCACCCGGCCGGTGTGGCTCAGTGGCTGAGCGTCGACCCTGCACCAAGAGGTCGCTGGTTCGATTCCCGGTCAGGGCACCTGCCCAGGCTGTGGTCCTGATCCCCAGTGGGAGACGTGCAGGAGGCAGCCCATTGATGTTCTCTCTCATCAATGTTTCTATCTCTATCCCTCTCCTTTCTCTCTCTCTAGAATCAATAAAGAATAAAAGAAGAAGAAGAACCTACACCCTTCCGTGAACCCTCAGGAACATCACCCGTCCACTGTAAACAAGACAAAAGTCACCCACACTGCCAGTCTCGTAGGACTACGAGGAACCACATTCTGGAAGCTACCACCTGCTGTGTCCCCGGGGCCTGCACCCAGAGGCCCAGAGCCAACCGCTCTTGATCCACAGGCGCCCAGCTAGAGACAGTGACCGCATGACTGATAGTCAGCCAGCGGCACCCGTGCCCCGGTGTGGCCCTGACCCGGCCAGCTTGTCATGGGCAGCCCGGCCCCGGGAGCACAGACGGGCACACTGCCTGCCTGGCAAAGCCCGGGACCTCAGTGCTGCTCTGCCCACCGACTCAGACAGAAAGAAGGTGCCAGGTGGCGGAATGGGCCTGTTCACCCAAAACTGCCAAGTGAGAAAGTGACCGCTGGACGCCCACAGAGGGCGCTGCCCTGTCCCAGGATCGGCGCCCATGACCCCAGCCCAAGGCTGCCACTGCCCTGGCATCGCAGAGAGGCCGTGTGGGCACACCAGCCTGCCCCGGTCTGCAGCCCGAGGCCTCTCATCGGCAGGGGAACGGCCGGGCCAGCACACAGAGACGGCTCAGGAGCAGCCCTGGCCGGTGTGGCTCAGCGGTTAGAGCATCGGCCCGTGGACCAATGAGCTGTGGGTTCAATTCCGGCCAAGGCACGAACCTCAATTGCAGTTCATCCCCAGCTCTGGTCAGAGTCGTACACATCAATGTATCTCTCCCTCTCCCTCTCCCTCCTTCCCACTGTATCCAAAAAGGAAAAGAAATTGATGGCACCCCAACTAGAGGGACTCAGGGCTGGTGTCAACCCTGCCCCCCTCCTGAGCACAGTGCCACCCACAGCTGCTCACTGTCAGCTCAACCTCAGCCGCCAGCTCCCGTCCACCCAGACCGGCTCCCGTCCACCCCAGACCGTCTCCCGTCCACCCAGACCGGCTCCCGTCCACCCAGACCGGCTCCCGTCCACCCAGACCAATTCCCATCCGCCCAGGCCAATTGCCATCCGCCCAGACCGGCTCCCGTCCACCCAGACCAATTCCCATCCGCCCAGACCGGCTCCCGTCCACCCAGACTGGCTCCCGTCCACTCAGACCGGCTCCCGTCCGCCCCGACCCGCTCCTGTCCGCCCCAGACCAGCTCCCGTCCGCCCTGACCGGCTCCCGTCCGCCCCAGAATGGCTCCCGTCCGCCCAGACCGTCTCCCGTCCGGGCGTCCGCCATGCCCATGCTGCTGTCCCCTCGACTGGCTGTCACTCAGCGCACTGGCCACACAGGGCTACTGAGACGTACACTTCAGTTCCTGGAACTACATGAACCACACTCCGCCCCTCGGCCACGCCAGCCGCATCCCACGTGCTGAGCACATGGGGTCCTGAGGGCAGTGCCCAGTGGCCGGCGCAGTCACTGCGCCAGGCTGAGGAGCCCTCCTGCTGCCGGCCCGGTGCCAGGATGTTTCTGCATGTGGGAGGGCAGCTGCCTTGAGCCCCTGGGAATGTCCGTGTCTCCGGCCCTGTCCCTGTGAACACCCCTCCAACTGCCACTGGGTTTCGCCAGGGACCTGCTTTGTCCCACGAGACAGTCATCACCGGCGTAGGCAGAGGTTTGAATATGTGTTTGCACATTTCTGTCCCACACCGACCCCGCCACAAGAGCACCCCGGGCGAGCCTGCTGGAGGGCGTGGGGCTCGTTAAGGAGACGCAGGCCGGCCCAGTCCCCCCTGCTGGTGAGCACCCCAGACAGACCCCCACACTGGGGAAGAACGGTGGGGCCCGTGAGACCTCGCGCAGCCCCGTTTCCCTCAGGGCGGGGAAGGCAAAGGCCCGGCTTCCTGAGGCAGGAGGGGAGGAGAGAACATGGAAAGGGCACCGGCCACCCTCGGGGCCCGGGAGCGCACCCTGCTCCCCAGGAAAGGAGGCCTCGGGGAGCACGGACAAGTCCACCCTCCAGCAGTCGGACAACACCCCACCCAGGCCTCAGCCTCCTGGGCCCGCCCTTGGCTCTCGAGGGAACCTGTCCGAGGCGTCTGGACACCCAGCCCCGACCGGGATGCCCGGAAGGTGATTCAAGCCTCCGCAGTCTCCACCGGGAGCGTCCCCGGGGCTGGCCCCCTCCTGGGGGCCGGGCGGAGTGAGCGAGCCCAGGGTGTTCCTGCATCTCGGGGGGGGGGGGTGGCTGACTGGACGACAGACGTGTGCTAAACCGGTCACCTCCCTGCACTGAGAGCTCCAGGAACAGGGGGGGCTGGGCTGGAGGAACCCGCGGGGGCGGGGGGGGGCAGTCCTGGGAGAAGTTCGGGAAAGGAGCCACTCTGGAGACCTGGCCTGACAGCCGAGGAGGGGCCTGCACCTCAGAGCTGCCCTGGGAGGGAGCTGGGGAGGCAGCAGCTGGGGGCGCCCTCTGGCCAGGAGGGGAGGACACAGGTGCCGAGCCCTGGCTCCTCTGCGCTGTCCCAGCTCCCTCCGCGGACCAGCCCCCCGATGCTGGGCCTGGGCACCCTCTGGCACTTCCTGGCTGTCAACAACCAGTGTCCTCCTCTCTGTCTTCCGTGGGCCCCCGAGCACCCGGCCTGCGACCACCACCCTGGAAGCCCTCTGCTCCCTGGGCCACCACACCATGTGGTCCTTCCGTCCCCCATTTCCCAGCCCCGCCCTCATGCACTGTGGGGGACGCCCCAGCGGTGCCCAGGCTCCCTCCAGCGGGCACAGAGAAGAGCCTGGCAGACCCCTGGGCTGGCCACGGCTCTCAACTTCTCCAGTGTCCCTGGAGGCCACCTCCATGCCGCCCTCAGGTTCCATCAGCACGAGGCCTCCCAGGGGCCCTGCGCAGCCTCCACGGCCGCTCGCGCCGGCCACCCAGGGTTTCCTCGGCCTCACGCTCACGTACAGCCTCCCACAAAGCCCTCCGTGGGAACACAGGTCAGTGTGAAGTTGCCAAGAAATTAATATCCTCAGTGGCATCAATTACAAACAGATAAGAGCCCTGGAGAGACTTTATTATTGTGCAGAGAACACACCTCCTGGCCCGGTACAGCGAGACCGACCGGACGGCTGTGCCTATTGTCCTGTGTCTGCACACCTGCTGCTCTGCCCGGAGCCCTGCGCCCCTCCAGACAAGAACTCTGCTCGTCCCTGGGCACCCCCCCACACACACACACACCACACACACACACACACACCCCACACACACACCCCACACCCCACACACCCACACACACACCCCGCACACACCGCCCTACTGCATGTAC